GACAGTATCAGCAAAACACGAACGTATCAGTCTGCACACAGAACACGAAGCCTCATTGGAACACCAGGCTTACTGAGAACAGAACATTTGATAAGTGAGCGTTCGTATCTGGTAGAGAACGAAGAACTTTTGTCTCATTTCGAATAGGGACAGCTGAAGATGATATATTAGGGTTATGGAAAATGAAGCTGAATTTTATAGTGTGATGCTCGTATGACAAAGTCAATGACGGCGCACGGGTAGGAGAATTAAATAGATAGAGAAACGAGTGAAGTATACTTCCAATTGTATTCATCATGTTTTGGTTTATGGATTTACTAATACTGTAATTATTTCTTTTTTCAAATTTGTGGAGGCCATGTTACCGTTAATGCAAACATACCAATTGCGGTGTTTTAATTGAAAATACCCCCAGTACAGGCCAATTCATTAAATGGGCCCATGTTCAGACAGAATTAAGATCGAATTTTAGTAATCCGACCATTTTTACAGCGCATTTGGAAGAAATACCTAAGCATAAATTATTTAAATGTATTGGATTCATATTTTGTGTATTGCTAAAATGGCTTTAAGAAAAAGGGCCCGGCATGATCCGCTAATTTTCATTGAGTCTACTCAAGATAGTCCTGCAAAAGATCCCATTACATGTCGGTTATACAGGCGATAATTATTAGAAACTCGTATCACCCCAAAACCCACGAGCTCAAGTTCTTTGAAAATAGGTTTGGTGGAGGCGGGGATGGGGTTGGTGGGTAGGGGTTTTCCGATACTAATGTTTATCCATTTTGGCATATATGCACTCTATTTTGAAAGTTGAAATAATATTTCCAAAAAAGGTGTAGATCCTAATGCCATAATTAGTATTACCTAACTGTCAATCGTGTCCGCTGCTGACACAGTATTGGCTCAGGTGGGCGCCTAGTTATATTTTCTCCTATATTACGTTTTCGAGCATGTTTGAGATGCTAGTCATTTTTTTCTTCTGCTCGGTCTACTAAAGCCAATAAATACACGTATGGTACAGTTTTGATGATTCAAAACTTCAAAATCAAATAGGTTATAAGGCCTAAGACGAACATTCGATTTTCATATTTGAAGATGAAGATAAGGTGTTATCGACCAAACTTGCTTTATATGCATAGGTAACTTTTTAATGCGTGAATTCAGGTAACAAGCTAGTAGTCATGTTTCTTGTACGGGTTCTGGCAAACCCACTTTTCCAGCTCCCCCTCCCATTTGTCCAGCCCCTACCCAAATAGCCCATAAACACTAAAAAATATATCCTTCCCTCTACTCCACGTGGATTTTTTTCCTCTCTTTCCTCACATTGAATATTGCTTTTGTAGGATAATTAAAATAGGCCTACATTGTAGATTCTGTTTTTTTTTTACATGACAGAATCTATCATTTAATCCTCTGATTCGCGTTTACAGTAGCTCCTAGGTAAATATATTGTTTCAAAATTAAGATCGTCCGATGCGATCTATCCTGTTATTCATGACACGGGTCTGTCGTTTTGTTATTCAAAAATTACCTCCTGAGATCTTATTCGCTCGGGCCGTGTTGCATGTCGCTCCAGTAACCCGACACAATGCCTATTCAATTGATCAAACAATTACATATTCAGTTGCCACCATCTCAACGGTACGTTAACTATGAGCTTTGGGAAAAATGGCTGCTTTACCGTCAGTTGCCTACAAAACTTCCAACTATTCTATCGTTCCACCGGCCGGGGTAAGTTGTCTTTTGTTGAAGGAGTTACTAATGTTAGTTACTTTTAAGTAATATTATTTTAAGGACAATGATGCGTTGGCCTAATATTGTCTCGGTATGTTATCACCGACAGCAAATAATAGGTCAAAATTTACATTTCCGTATATCCCAGAGTGATCACATATTACAGTACAGTATTCAGTATTGATAACAATAGCATATTGTGCCTATAATTGCTATACTTTTTTTAAATGGTTGTATTTACATATCTAACACATAGGCTGACATGTAGTCATATTGTCCGCTGTTTTTATTTTGTTTTATTATATTTCGTTTAGTTTTTCTTAAGGTCCTGCATGGGATTGTGGAGCAATATACTTGTGGTGGGATACATTAACGTGTGAGAAGTACTTTTAAACTTAAACTTAGTCTTGTTAGACCTACCTATACTTCTGTCTCTTATACACATCTAGATGTGTATAAGAGACAGTATATATATAATGATACGACGTGGCTTAAATGTAAACGCCGAACAGTCAATAGCTCGACAAAGTCAGATTTAAAGGAGAAGCTTCATATTTTAAAAGTATACTTGTATTCTATTTCTGAAACTTTGATGGACTGTTGCACTTGTGACGTCAGCATCGTCTAGTTGAGAGCGTTACGTCATGAGCGCGTACGAGATTCATAAATGGGATATTAAGTAACTGAGTATGCTAAAATGTTTTAAAATTGTTGGCATAGAGATACTGTCAATAAATAAGTTGGGGATATATATTTAAAATGGGAAAAAAACTCTTCGGTTCGTTTCTTTTTCTCTTTTTTTGGTATTACAATACATTAAGTCAAACTGCGATTTAATCTAGGCTAATAGGTCAAATAATAATAATAATAATAATAATAATAAATATCAATAAAAATGATGATGAATATGATGATGATGATGATGACACATCCTCTTCTACTAAGCTTTAAAGATGATTAAGTATAATGCTTTAGCGGAGGCAGGGGTGGAGGTGCAGACGATGCGATCGCACCCCTCTAATTGTATTAAGAAAAATATTTGTTGTAGGCCTAGGAGTATTGTATTGTTGATATGAAAATAAATAAAATTAAATCTGATGAGAGTGCAATTTCCGGGCAGAGGTCCATCAATATTCTCAAAATGTTCTCACCTCACCCCAACCATCTTGGGGCTGAGGTGGTCACACGCACCCCCTACCGCCAAATCCTGCATCAGCCCCAGTTATGCTAAATATAATTTCTAAATCTGATAATTAGGGGGCTTTAGAGAGTAGCTATACACAGGGTTAACTCTTTGGAAGATGTCAATTACATTTCCTCGAGCTCCGAAACGAATTTACTTTACAAAACTAACTCGGAACAATAATTCAAAATAATAATGGTTTAATTCATTTTAATTGCGCTTATAATAAGCTGTTGCTATACTCTGGGGACATATTTTATACTCTCTTCCCCATTGTACCCACCTATCTCAATTCAAGCGTAGAGTTCATACCGTGTGTTATTTATAGTATTATTACTCACGCATTATTAACACAATACCAAAAGCCAGATTCAACAACAGTATTTATTGAATTTGCAAAGGGTTAAGTAGCCTCTTGTGAACTATGGTATGATTTATACGAACCAGTAGAGTTGTGTATTCAAAAATCGCATTCAGCTATGTATTGTACCATGTTTTATATTGTTATTGCACAACTATTCAGAATCCTACCTGTTGAATACTGTCCCGAGTGACGCGATCTTAACGGTCGGTACCTGGAGCTCTAAAATTCTATTACATCTCCCCGTTAATACGCGGTACATTTTCTAGTGGTTTACTTTCTTACACCTCCGTGGTGTATCCATTACATTGTGGTAATTAGCATAATGAATCAAATAACACCAGCCAACCTTCGTTTCATGTTTATAATAGTCTGTCACGTAATCTGATTCCAGCAAAATTTATCGGAAAATACTAAACAATTTCCCCCCCCCCCCTCTGGATCAATAACCATCTCCGTCACTCATCCTCCGTCTTCGTCATCACCGTCGTCGTCATCATCATCATCATCGTCTTTACTTGGAAAAATGACGATATGTATCGATTAGTTGTTGAGATATGACTGTATGATTAAGGCGCCTGCCTTCCATTCTTAAAGTTCTTGGTCAAATCCTGTACCGAACACAAGATTCGCATAACTGAAAAACATCTCCCTAGGCCTCGAAATGAGATTAGTTTCTAACGCATCAGATTATTTTAATTTATTTATTTATTAATAGGGTCCCTGATGTGGCACCCTCTATTAGTATTATGATATATAATTATTTTCTACACAGAGCAAAAGATATTCAAAGGTTACAAAATGAAACTATGCTGAATGTTTAATTTCTTAATGCAAATATATTGCACTCTATTTTTACGCTAAATGCTCGAGGTGAACTTTATTATGACAATGGTAGGATGTATTGACGTTTTGAACGTATTGCTTTGTAAAGGCGTGGTTCAGTTATTGTTTGTATGACTCATCTGCATTGTAATAAAAAATACTAACATATAGGATACGAACATTATATATATATATGTACCGTAATTTTACATTAAATCATAAGCCTGTGCGCTTAATAATAATGATTCTTTATTTGTCCTTTTATATGTATGCCTACACACTGGGAAATTCGGGCTGTGTCCCCGGGGACCCGCGGCTGCCATAGCTCGGCGCCAACCACCCCACTTACTCTACAACATCAAACGGATACAGACTGATACATATGTGGTCCTTAACTCGCCGAACTCTCCTGAGAGGGTTATTCGAGGAGCTGTGCGTTTTTTTATTATGAAAGACTCGAATTCAATACTCGATGCAGAGCCGAGTATCGAACACAGGCCTTGGCGTGCAAGAGGCAGGGACCATACCAATTAGCCAAACGCTCAGCTCATTATGCGGTCGATGGTGTTAATCTCTTCTTATCATCATCACCACCACTACCGTACCACCATCACCGCAATCGACAACACAAATATCATCAAATCAATCATAATTATACAGGGCTTCAATTCGAGGTTTTACGGTATTTCATTATCATAATTGTCAGAAATATAGAATTTTTTTTTGCTCATGTTGCATCACCAACAAAATTAACTAAATAATTTCAAAGTACGAAGAAAATCATCACCACTATTATTATCACAATCAGTATCAACATCACAATTGAAGAGAAGACCGTAGATGGATGGACAGCTGAAGCCTAATATAATTACAGATTTTTCTCATCTACTATAGGGTGTTGATCTTGATGCTATCGACGCTGCTCCTACGTATCCGACCAAAGGTAGTGAAAAATATTATGCATCAGGGGTAAGTAGGCCTGCAATGAACATACAGTACCGTAATTAGTAAGGATCATATTAATTTGATATTTTTCATTTGATGTTTGATTTTCAATATAATAGAAAGAAATGTGTTTTAGAAACATGTTGCATGGAATACAGTATGTGCGTTGAACGCTAGTCAACAATGAAATTGGCATAGGACTATGTTTATAGTTCTAGGCCAATATGCAAGCTCAGATATCCTCTGTCTTACGACGGAAAGATCTTTTAGAGCCCCATTTCTCTAAATAATCTACCCTCTCCAATTAAATTAAATGCAGTGGGACTCTCAGCAACTTCAAAGCATTGATTGGACGCCAACTGAAAACATGCGACATTACTACAATGCATCATCTCTATATAATCCCGCTTCATTGCGTATTATGATACTTGTTGATATGATCTCACTGTTTAGTCAGCCTGTACATCATACGAAATGTTAATGGAGATATCTGGTTATAATGAGAACGCGTTGCAATTGTCTCGACCGTGCAGAGGCCTTATGGCATTTGAACATTTTCCAGGTTTATCAATATCAACATTCATCGGCATTAATTTCGATTCATAGTTAAAGGTCTCCGTCCAAGTAAAGGCCATTTCTTTGACCGGGTTTCCATGGTTTTTAGCAGCTTTGATCTCTAATTAAAATAATAAAGATAAAATTCATTTGTTAATATGGGACCACAGAATACTCTGGTCTGGAGGGGGTGTAGAGGGAGACATATATCTCCGACTACAGTAGTCCTATAAATTGTGATTCAGCTCCATATTATTAGATAACTTTAGGAACTATAGCCTAATAAACATTCTCATATTAGGGGTGGATAGGTTTGGGTAATGTCATGCATATTGTCATCATCATTTTGTTATTTATCCAGCATGAGACTGTATTTACAGTCAACCGTATGCTTGTGAAATACCTGAGGTTTGGCAGTCAAAGTTGTATATTAAAAGAAATATATATATTTGAGTAAAAATAACTCAAAATAATTCAAATTTTTTAATGAATGCAAAACTCAAAATACCCAAATTTCCTAACGATCCAACTGAGCTTCGCCCTCTATTGTCGCAGCTAATTGTAAACTATCTATTTACAGCCTCATCACGGAAGGTCGCGAAAGTATACTATAATAACCTACGTAGATTTTTGCTCGATATCTGCTATAAAAGACAATATCTATAGTGACTGATTAATTGATATAAAGAGAGGAATACGTACTAGCCTTATATAGCCTAGGGCCTATTTTTGAATTACAGTCGACTCCGCCTAAGTCGAATCTAATGGGACTCGAATCTAATGGGACTGGCATTAAAACATCGAGTTATATAGATTTCGACTTGCAATTTTTCGAAAAAAAACCAAAAAAAAAAAAAAAAAAAAATATTAACATAGAACAATACTATGTGTTCACTGCCCACAAAATCGAATTTCACGCAAAACCGAACATTTTTTAAGTCCCAAAATCATTCCTATTCGTCTTTTAATAAAATACTTTCCTGAAAACATGAACTCCCTATTCCGAATCTCGGACGATTTGTCCAATTCAGGACGGTAACACTCACTGGAAAAACCAGACGATAGTTAAATAGACATCGTTTAACGACAAGCACACCATCATTATCATCATCATTCATCCCATCCATTATTTTCAGACATTATCATAAATAGATCGGGAAGGGTTAGACATAAACAAAACAAAATATCCACAAACCGTTTTAAAAATTCAGCATTGTACATCGCTTGTAATCTATTTAATCAAAAATTTTTATTTTCTAAGAAATCTTTATTTAACACTCTATATGTTTATGAACGATTCTATGTCATGTACAACAAATATCTCAGAATGTATTATTTTGACAATAAAGTTGACTTGTATCTTGTATCTTGTTGTACACCACACGCTGTGAGAACGAGACGCTTAGCTGCAGGGTGACCACTCACAATTTTTGATATACCCAATTAATTACCCAAGATTCAGCAAAAATTGCCCAAAATTACCCAAGCTTCCTGAAAATGCATTAAAATTTGAAAAATACGTGTTTTTCGCATGTATATTTTCCCGTTTAGTTCAATTTATAAACCAATTTGTTATTGTAATTGTTTGTGTTAATTATTAAAATTAATATTCATGAGGTGATAATACGGATAGAAAAATACGCCCTCAGTCGGCCAGTGTTATCAGTAGATCAGTGATCAAGTTTTATTATGTAATGCATTAATTAGGTAAGATCTATGGCAACGCAAATCACAAATAAACAAATCTGAACCCATGTTTATAGCAATCAACAGTCAATTAACAATGTTAAGTGCACTTCGTTGAGTTTTGCTTACTTGAATGGACTGAAATATACAGTACTTTGTTACTTCTTAATTCTTCCTCTATGACAAAAATATTTAATTTTCTTAGTAAAAATAAAATACCCAAGGATTTGAACGGAATACCCAAGAACCCAAGACCAAGTCAAAATACCCAAGATCTTGGGTAAATACCCAAGCAGTGGTCACGCTGCTTAGCTGTACTCGCATTGCCATAGAGATTATCCGTTGATTAACATGACACGCCAGTAGACGTTTTGTTGGTTAATTATGAAGTGAAATTTAGGTACGCATTCCAATGTTTTAATTAGTGTATATTCTTGATTTTAATCCTTAAAAACCATTCGGAATCAACCTGAAATAAAGACGGAACTCGACAAAGCAAGTTCCTACTGGTTACTCTTTTTAGTAGACGTCTAATTCAAATTCGTTAGATTCGTCAGTGTAAATTGCAAAGTTGCTAATTTTATTACGGAGGAAATTTGTAGAGAATAAAATCTAATTTGTTAGGTTTATTTAGATTTGACTCTAAATTAATACCATGAGAGTTTCTTATTTGTTTTTTGCTTTGTTTTATAAATTTGTTTAACAAAACATTCTTGACTAAACCGAGCTTGTTTACTGTCACGCACTATGAAACTTTGGGCGATCTGACGTCATTACAGCCGAAGCACATGTCTAGTGCAAAACACCCCACGAAAAATGGACCAATTGGCGGGCAGGCAGAGTTTTTGGGGGCGCGACCTATTCTGTTTACAACTAGATTGCCGACCAGCATTACCCAACGAAGAATGTGTGCTTGGAAAAACATAATCAGACCTAAAGAAATGCACGCAAATACAATATAAAAATCGTATCAATTTTATTGGTAATAATTAAATTTGCTGAGCAGTACAGCAAAAACAACAGGTACTGTACGTATTATTGAATAATGTGTTGAATTTGCGTAGGCTAGGCTAGGCCTAGTCAAAAGAATCCAGGGCTTTGATAAATTAATTAAATTAATAGCTAGTCCCAGGCTACAAAAATCTTGTTGAAAATGGGTTCAATACAAGTTCTATAAACTGAATTGGATGACAAACTGAACATTGGAGCCGGTCCGGAGGGGTGTCTGTATTGTGAGAGTAGACTGCAACATATGACAAGTTCCACATCGCGCTGTCTGAGATGTTAGTTTTGACTTGGCTAACTTGGTGCCGTTCAACAAGGATTGAACTTTGTATTTTCCCACGGCTGTGTATTTTCCCACGTGCGCTAAAAAATTTGGAACTTCGACTTGTGTGGTTGAAATTACTTTAAAATCGGCCTATCCGGACCGGAAATTTTCGTCGATATATTATATTAAATTCGACTTAAAAATTCGAATTAAACAAACAATTTACACAGTAATACATAGGAAAAAATTGGAACCTTTTTCAAAAATTCGACTGACGCGAATTTTCGACTTAAACAGAGTCGACTTTGGCGGACTCGACTATTATTATTATTATTATTATTACTATTATTATTATTGTATTATTTGATTAAAACCCCGATAAAAATAATTTTAAAACTTGCAGTGTAATACAATGATTCAAACTATAAAATACGAACGGTTAAGTTCGATAACTAATAGACTCGCAGGCTTTTTAATGTCCAATTCAAATTCATCATTGACTGCATATAATGACCTTTCACACCCACATAGTAGGCCTACCGGTTATCGGGTTATAGGCCTTCAAAGTATTTGAGTTAAACGTTAACCGATTTCACTGGAATGGCATTATGATGTACTGTGCAAAAAGGGGCATACGGTAAACACATTATTGTAAACAGTGGATACATTACATCTGTAAAAAATTGTAAATTACAGAGTTTAATACACGTTCACCATACCAAGTTAGTTGATCGCATTCTTCTACGTCGTTATTTTGTAGGCTTGTATTGTGTGCGATGACTCGTTATGTACGTTGATATTCATTTGTTGTTTTGCTGGAGTAACCCCTGGTAAAGTTGGCGACCTAACCTCATATATCAAAATGCATGGGATGCATATCATCAAGAAATGATATTTTGAGTGATACTTCAACCGTTTATTTCCACGTGTGCCATGATGACGTTACTCTATATTGATACCCTGACCATCTTTTCTGAATGCGTGAAAGCAGAACGTAAAATGGCTTCATGATTCTCCATTGAAAATCGAATCTGCACTTCTAACGACCTGAAAGAAATCAATAACTGGTGTTCGTAAAAAAACCCCAATCCAAATAAAAAGTCTAAATCTACAAGAAAAATCCTACTATATATATATATATATATATACTGTCTCTTATACACATCTAGATGTGTATAAGAGACAGAGCANNNNCCTCTATTATACCTGTCTCTTATACACATCTAGATGTGTATAAGAGACAGTATATATACATTTATATTGCCATATTAGCGATCCAAACCATTTCTTTCCCGACCCACATTTAGTTCGCGACCCATTTGGAATAACAGCGTTACGGCATTGGATTATTTTAGTCGGTGAAAACAATGTTAAAAGTTCATTACCCTAAAAGGTGTGTTTCATGTAGAGAATTTATAGTGTTGTTGGCTTATATTATTTATGCGCGTCAACTTTGATCGCAGCGTCAGTATAACATGTACTTTCTGTCTTACGATCCTCAGTGGACACTTGGGAATAGTTTGCTTACAGTACGTTATGTTACTTCGCCATTGTTTTGCATCCATAATATGTCATTATATTATACGTAGATGTACTTTGTATGCATGATTATAGAGCTATATGAAATTACGAATTGTAGGTGTTTTTTTTTTATATGGTCGTTATTTTTTAGAGCAAACAACTGTTATTACACTGTACCCATTCATTGTAATACCTTATATTAAATAATAAAAATGTTCACGACGCCGTGGTCGTTCAGAAAGACAGAAGATGTCCATATTCCCACAAAATAAGAGGGTAGGTCTATGTGTGCTATGAAATATAAACAGATGCAATATTTAAACAAACTGTTATGACTTGCTGTGCATACAGCAGTGATGATGTTCATACAAAAGGCCTGACCTGAAATGTGTTTACATAATATACAATTTGAGTAATAATTCAACCAATCCAGTTTGCTTTTGAACCTCAGCGCAGTAATTTCAAATGCAATCAGGCGTTGACGACTCGCATTACTGTAGTCCTTTTTGGTGTTGGAATGTTGGTTTTTGTTTACTTTTATGATCCTTGTATTTATCGCTTATCGATTGTTCATTATAGTACAAACAAGTCTTTATTCTATGCACGATCTTTGATTTTAATAATAAAGAAGGCCTATGTTATGTCGAAGGCAGATCTGGTAGAAGGTCTTGGCATATAAACAGACACTTAGAGTATACAGTACTATGTCTGTATTTAATGTTAATAACAGACTGAATTGTTGATATCCACATGGTATATTACAGTAACCGATTTTCACAACACATTTTCTAACCAGTAACAGTTGAATAATAAAATTATAAAATGTAGACGATATATACATTCGTTGCTATTGATCTTTGACATAATAGTACATGCAGTTGCTACGGTATTATAATATGCCTAATTGTTTTTTGTTCAGTAATTCCACCACAATATTTTTATTTTTCAGGGTAGCTCTTCCACATGTGACGATTGTGAATGTTTGACGGCGAAAAGAATCGTTGTGGTGAGTAAAACTAATTAAGTTTTGCGTACACGTTCATTACACAGCCAGTCACTATAATGGTAGATCAGGAGGAGTTTTTAGCTCTAATGAGGAGCTGTAGAAATACTACTACCTCTATTATACTGCCCTCATGAGGCTGATTAATTAATAGTTGAATTAATAGATATTTCTTTAGATACTACTGCCTCTATTATACTGCCCTCACGATGAGCTCTAGAAACTGTGGGCTGATTGATTAATAATTGATTGATTAATAGATCCTTTTTAACTCTACTGCCTCTATTATACTGCCCTCATCGGAGCTTTCGAGATTAGGAAAACTTGTTTTTTTTCCCACTGCACAGTGTGCTGTATCAAGCTCACGAAAATGTAATGTCAATGGCGAACTATTTCCTATGTGTAATATAAATCCTTTTATTTATCAATTAGTATTATTACAGTACAACCGTACTTGTAATTATATTTTACTGTTGCTTTTTTGATTTAGTTGATTTTGTTAAAACACCTCTACAGTACTATAATTATACTCTTATTGTATAATCGGTTTTAAACTTAATTAGTTATTTTAGTTGTTTTTCTTTCTCTCTTTTATATATTGAACGCACCAAATTATTATGTGCCGCTACAGTTTAATAAATATATTACGTTATAGGATTATACTCGTCCGTTATAGGCATGTACTATCTAGGAAACACTAAAAACATCGAATTAAAACAAAACATTGGTTTTACCTCAAAATATACCACACCATACCATATTTTTACACATGGTGAACCGAAAGTTTATTAAACCAAATTTTAATTGATAGGCCCTACTTTCCATGAAAACCTTCAAGAGATATTTTTAAAACATTTTATTATACATTTAAATTATCAAATAACTTTGTAATTTCTCAATGAGACACAGATTTTTTGTTTATTCATAACTCGACCACCTAACAAGTATTTGTATCTGGCATGATACTCTTGTCTGTTGAGTAATTCAAGCCTCAAAAATCATGTTGCTATACTCTATTCATTATCTTGGAAATTTGTAAAAGTGAATATGGTATCAGCTCTTAATCCCATATTGTCGGTAGGCTTAGTCAGTTTCGTGAATATTTACAGTGCCTGACCAAATCAACTATTTCCATTGCCAGCTTATTGTTTAAATATGCCGTTTATTATCTGGCATATATTTCCTGTAAGCCCGTATACTACCAACATCAATTGTTGATTTGTGTATACAAACTCTCTAAAACCATAAGAGCCGGAAAACCCACTGACGCTCATTTTTCCACTCAAAATTTGCTCGTCACTGCCAAATGTGGTTTTACCAGGGATTTATAAAAATAATTGTATAAATATACAAGTACTTATTAATATTATGATAATTTTTCGCAAGGTATCTCGTAACTGTAATACTGAATGAATTATAGTAAACTACAGTCACAAGACAGTAACTTATGTACAGTATAGGAAAACACCTGCTCTGGTGGTAAAGTAATCCCGATAGGGTAATTTTATAGGCCTATTAAATTTTCTGTGAAGTAGCAGTTATGAGAGGAGCAGGGACGTCAAAGGAAGGCATTTTGTTTTTAATTTTTACATCCTATTCAAGGTAGATGGTAAAAATACTACAGGCTTGTGACTATAATGTGTGGTGACACACACATAAATCAACAGATCATAGATACCTCTCATGTCAGTTAAGATGTGTATAAGAGACAGATATATATATATATATATTAATGCACTTTTTCCATGGTTATTTATAGCAACTTTTCAGCAGCCAAAAAATGTTGACGTAATAAACGGTTCGATTCTTAAAGTTTTAAATACATATTCTTCCAAATAATTCTTTCTTTTGGTGGACATATTATAATGTTCTTCAAAATGCTTGATTCTTAGGTTGGTTCACACTACATCAACAATTTTTACGCGTTATTGCAAACGCAAGCAAAACCTTTTCCCTAGCTGCATTCACACCAGACCCGAACCTAATTAGAACCGCGTTTCTGATGCACTGAACGCCAGCGTCCCTATTTTCACACGCTGATTCGATTTTCTTATCGGTTTGTTAGGCTTTCGGATCCGAAAATTTGGATTCGGTGTGAAGGCACCTTTAGGGCGTTGATTGCGTACGCTATTGCTCTAGTGTGAACCAAGCCTTACCAGCTAGCATGCAGCTAAACATATATATAAACATATATCCAAATGATTCTATAGAGTCTTGTAGAGAAGCCTGGTCGCACAAATCAGTTTTCGGGATATCACTCACTGTTTATCTTGCAAAACAAATGTTAATTCTTTAAGTCGACTTAAAATATATTTACGTTCTATGCCTATATTTTAACGGCTGCTTCGTGTTCTTACAGGTGATTGCTATTATTCTTGTGATTGTTTTTGCTATTGGTCTCGGAGTTGGTCTCGGGAAAAAAGGTTTGACTTCAATAAACCATGACGAGTGGATAACTACACTATATAATGATATCAATTAACAAAATTTGGAATTGATCTATATTACTTACAACCTATATAAACATCTGTTAAATAATTTCGTGCTTAACTTAAGACGTCGTTTTCAAAATTGGACGAATTTAAGAGCTTATGTTGGCTTTAGAAATAGGATAATAATAATGATAATGATGATAATAATAATAATAATAATAATAATAATAATAATGATAATGATAATAATGATAATGATAATGATAATAATGATAATGATAATAATAATAATAATAATAATAATAATAATAATAATAATAATTAATTAATTAAAAGTTGACTTTTGATTTTTAAACTGTTCAAGTGATGTGCAATTCACTGCATCCTTTGGTAGTCTTGGGACACTGCGTGTTGAAAGGCCCATTCTCCATGTGATTCGGTTGAAACTTTAAAATGTATGAGAAGGAGCTTTGTACTAGAGAGAAGTTGTCTTGATGGATTTGTGGACAATTTTCTTTAGATACCAAGGAGCTATTTAATGTAGGCCTATGTACTTCAATGCCACCACAAGTAATTTAAATTGCAGTTTGTCCTTAAAATAGGTAATAATAAATGTATGCTCCTTTAAAAATGAATTTACTGAAAGAAATTAAACACACCTAACTTTTATCATTAATTATGCTTTAGGCCTATGTCTTTAGTGTGTAATCTATATGATTTCAATCCCAAGTCTACAGTAAGGCCGCTGGGAGAAATTTAATATGTAATCATAAAAGCACATAAAATATAGGTAGAATATCTATTTGAAATGGCAAATTAAATTAGATTTTGATGTATTTATTACGATCAATTCTTAGAGGTTTTACTAAAAGAATATACTGTTTTTTAGTTAAATATTAATAAGGTTATAGACCTATATAGTTTTTAAAATTATGTATAAGCCTACAGTGACAGTAAACGTGTTATGTGCCTATAAATATTTTAACCAATATCACTGTTTTCATTTCATTTTTGAATATCTTCTTCATTACAGACTCCGGCTATACTGGTGCTTTTGCAAAAACTTATGGCGATTCTTGCTCATTCAGGTGCCAACCGACAGGGTAAGTAAAACAGCAAAAACAATATTGATAGGCCTATTAAATTTTCTGTGAAGTAGCAGTTATGAGAGGAGCAGGGACGTCAAAGGAAGGCATTTTGTTTTTAATTTTTACATCCTATTCAAGGTAGATGGTAAAAATACTACAGGCTTGTGACTATAATGTGTGGTGACACACACATAAATCAACAGATCATAGATACCTCTCATGTCAGTTACTTTGTCGCTTTTGCAAATGGGTATCAGTATAGCAATGCTCCAACAAGAACAAAAATATAAGAGCTAAAGCCACATTCTTGAACTCTACTCCGTATCTTTCAGTACTGTAGATGTAGACCTTTTCTTAAATTTAATGCAATAGTTTGTTGTCAATGTTCTCATCTTCTTTTTAGCTATACACGAAAACCTCTACTTGTGATAGCCTTGGACGGATTACGCTATGACTATGTGAACAGAACAAATCATGCCCCAAATATCAAACGTCTTGGTATGTTCAGATCTCAGATATATTTTCAAATTAATAATGTTAACTTAATATTGATGATACTTGTATATTTTTTGATAATAGCAATAATATTAATAATACTAATAAAAACAGCAATAATAATAATTAATTATATTAATATTAATAATAATAATAATAATATAAATAATATAATAAATATAATTATAATAAATTAATGAAAGTGATGATGCTAATGATGATAGTGATGACGATAATAGTAATGATAATATTGATGATAATGATATATGGTCATCTAATTTTATTCATACCAAATTGTCAATGTATATGGATGATGTTATTAGTTATAACTCTTTTGTGTTCACATACAGAATTAAAAATGTATATTAAATAGAATCTATCTATTCCGACTTCCCCCAGCTCAGTGCGGAGTGCAAGCTAAGTTAAGACCTTCATTCCCAGCACTTACGTATCCTAACTTATATTCGATCATCACGGTGAGTTGATTGATTAATTTACTGAGGTATTGTTATTTATATAGCATTTTTTTTAACGATTTATTCGTAGGCTGCGAACATTATCGACTTATGACATCTGATAATGATGTGCAAACAATAATATCAAAACAATTTTAATGTTTAATTTTTAGATCATCAATCTTTTAAGTATTTCTAGTATTGGATATATTTCTTCATTACGCTAACATTGATTAAATGGATTTTAATAGGTTGCACCTGATCTACGAAAGTTTATTATTGTCTGCACTGAATATTATATAAACGTATTATATTTAATTAAAGTTATTTCTTGGTAAACCAGTAATAATGTAATAGACTTACTTGCTACGTTTCACAATTATATTCATGTATTACTTGATATTTTCGATTATAATATAATATTATAAAGTGTTTTCATCTTTTATATATAAATTTGTTATTATGTGCTAAGATAAATATAGAGGGTTATATAGCTATATATAGAGGGTTTTAAATTCATGAGTTTCATGAGTTTTAAAGTATTTTTGATGCTATAGGGATTGTATCCAGATTATCATGGTATTGTGTCGGACTATATCTATGACGAGGAAGAAAGAAATGAGTTTGAGCCTGTGACGTCACCAGAAGATATAGAACTTAGCAAAGGTTATTGGTACAAGGGAAAAGCGGTACGTTTTAATCTACGTCCACTTTGTCGATTCAATAGGGAAAAAAATAAAATTTCAGTCTCAAAATTTAATAATAACGGTGTGGAAAATATTTATTTTTGTTTTTTTAATTATTTATAATAAGCCTTCTTTGTATTTGTTAACGGTTTTTATTTTTGAGTGAAATACGTCCTTACCGCTCGACCACAAGAAATAATTTTGTCACTTACTACCATTTCTTAAATTGTGTAAATTGTAACGTAATTCAGCTATGGGAATCTGCGACAGAGCTTGGCTACATCACAGCTAGTCACTCCTGGCTTGGAAGTAATGTTGAAGATAATATGTATGAAGACGGAATCCAGAGGGTGCGTCACCCAACCTATTATGCTGAATATGAGTAAGTTAAATTGCCTTGTCGCTCTTATTACTGAAAAAATAGGCTCCCGGCCGCTGGAGAGTGTGTCTGCTCCTTGACATGCTTTTTTTGGCTACTTTTAACTCATCCAAGCTTTCTGTGTTGGTATACCAGATTATACAAGGATATTACCACATTGCTATGACTTTTTATGAACTTTCTAAGACAGGTCTTATCTAGCATGGCATCATACTTCGTATTAAATTTGCTTTTTATTTAATCTTTAGCTCTTGACCCATCCCATCATTCCTCTACCGGATTTACTTTTACGAGTTCAACTGTCAGACAACAACAAAGTGTTGAAAGAATTTCATCTAATCTTGATGATGAAATTGAGAAAGGATTACGATCGAATACACCTACATTTACTTTAACCAGAACTCTAGCTACTCAGTAATGCGTAATTTTCAAGTTTACCGTACATAATTAAAACGTTCTAACTACTTGTCGGTTTCTTGTGTCTCTAATCTGATGCGTATTCCAAACTTTTATGTGAAAGATAATTTAAAGCATGCCTAAATCTAAATCTATAATTTATATTAAAGTAATATAATTAAAGTGTCTACTTACCCCCCCCCCTCCCCTACGACAGTAGACACAAAACTTCTTGGAAAATATATATTTTTTTCATTTATACTCTATTTCGAATGTTTGTAAATAGTCGGGATTACTGAGCGCCTTCAATTTTATAAACAACGTTTACTATCGTTTATGCTTTACATTGAGCTGGAATACAAATGAAACTTTGATATTTATCGCTGTTTATTGTACTTTTATTAACGAATAATACAATACTTTCTTTTTGCAGAGATATCGATTACAGTAAAAGAATGAACACAGTGAGAGCTTGGATAAAGGCACCGTCTGACAAAAGGTAATATCAATTCCATATTCTATTGAGTTAGTAAACATTGTACTTAGATCAGTAGACATGTAACCGTGCTGGGATTTGTGTTTTAACTCTTTTTAAAATGTTAATATTAAGAACTTTTTCATTGAGAGTATAACTGTTGTGAATTTATCTTTGTAAAATTTAATTTTTTGTTTGCCATCAGTAGACATGTAACCGTGCTGGGATTTGTGTTTTAACTCTTTTTAAAATGTTAATATTAAGAACTTTTTCATTGAGAGTATAACTGTTGTGAATTTATCTTTGTAAAATTTAATTTTTTTTTTGCCTTTATTTTGTATTTTTCTATCGATTTTTTTCGTTTGATTGTATTTTATTGTATGTGTTGCTGGGCCCTGGAGGATAGGAATGGTTTGCACTGATCAGGCTACCCAGGGTAAAGAAGAAATAATTAAATTAATTAAATTATTGTTTGATTACTAATAATGTTTTGTGGTAGTTAGGAAATATAGAGGCATCGATGTGAGACTGACTTTAAGATGTCATTTATTCAGCCAGAACTTTCGCTGACAATCGGAGCCACCTTCTCATTGCGTATAAAGCCTGTTTTTCACTAGGCGAATTTATTCGCGCGAATCGAAAGCATTGGCTGATGCGCATTATATGCACATTAATATCGGCGCAACCAATCAAATTTCGAGAAGCGATCCGACACTGTCGATTCGCGCGAATACATTCGCCTTGTGGAAAACATGCTTTAAGACGAGGCATAAAACAGGGAGTCGCCTTATATAATCTTGCTAAAGTGGCAGTCAGAAATATATGCTGGCTAAGCCCGTGTTTGGAAGATTAGCCCTAAGTACATTTAGTTTTGTTTTTAGCCAGCTACATTAGATGCAATATCAAGACCACAGAAAGCAGCAAAAAGTAGGAATATCGACGATGACACAAAAGGGATCGTGTCTTATTATGCCCAATATAAACAAAATCATCCAAAAAATTTCTCAAATTTGGGGGTCGTCTTAAAACGTGGATCGCTTTATACGCGAGTATATACGGTACCTGATAATATTGTATTAACGTACTAGCTAAACACCTTATATAGTGCTAAATTGTTGTTTCCAGTTAATTAATCTTTTTTTTATATTTTTTTACATCAATAGACCACGATTAATAACAATGTTTATGGAAGACCCAGGTAAAACAGCCAAAAAGTATGGTATCTACTCAAAACAAGTAAGTGTCGTCTCTTAATGTGCAATCCTATATTTTCATTTAGAAAAGGAGTACAATCAATAAACAAGTCACCCTATATTGGAGTAACTGTACCTATAATAGCTATATTTACGAATTATTGACGATTTGATTGGCCGAGCGGTTAAGTCAGAGGCACCGTAACCTTCAGATCTAATATCGGCGATGGTTCAAACGGCTCACTCACCAATGGTTCCGGAGGTGGAACAAGTCTTCTCGGATAAGGACTTTTAACCGTAGGTCCGATGTACGCATTTGACTCGTGTGCACTTTAAAGAACCCAGCACACCTTTCGAGAAGAGTAGGGGTTACCCTGGTGTACTGGTCCATTACGTCCCCTGTTGTTAAATGGCTACGCCACGTAGGACAGTAATTAAGTTCACTTATTGGCATATCCTTGGCGCTCGTGCCTAAGAACTAAAATGAAATTAGTGGATATTTTGATTTTCATTATAGCTATATTTACGATTTTCATTAAAATTTGATGACCATATTATAATCTCTTCTTACCCAGCCTGCAACCCCTTCTCCACTTCAAAAAGTGTCCATATCGCATTTGATCCTGTCTCTTATACACATCTAGATGTGTATAAGAGACAGATATATATATTCTCTAAAAGTATATATTAATTATTTTATAATTTAACATATTTCATTTTAGTAATACTATCTTCGGCCGGTCATTTCCTTTTTGCCTCTTTATATTCGTGCATTGTTTTATTATTTTTTATTGTGTACTCTACTTCTTTTATATTCTTGTGTACTGCATTTTTTTGGACGCACGCCTTCACAATTTTGAAATTTGCCACTGTTTTAAAATTGTATTTTTCTATTAAACTACTTACTCTAACATGATTTAATTATTTAACTAAAGAAACCGCTTGTTTTTCTGTCAATCAGTTTAATGAGAGTCTACGCGAAACCGACGAAGCAATTGGTATATTAATGGAGGATCTGATGGAAGAACAAATGTTGGACTGTATTGACGTCATGGTTGTTGGGACCAGTGGCATGATCGATGTAACCTGCAATGATGTATTTTATCTTGATGACGTAAGAGAAATTATGCTTTTTCTTGAAATAATTGTCAAGTACAATCGTCTTGATCTTTTTTTAGTTACCTGCTATGCAATTTTTAATTAGTCTTAATGTTGAATTTCAGTTCGTTGATGATGTACGAGATTATGACGTGTCTCCGGATTACATCGGATCTTTCGCAGAGCTAATGCCAAACGATCGTAAGTGTGAAATAGTATCAAACACCTTTTTTAACTATTAATTACGTTATTTATTATAACGGAATATTGACGGATTTCTTTTTTGTACAATTAGGTGCTAAGTACAATACTACAGAGAATTTGGCCGAACGCTTGCAAGTAAGTAAACTTAGGTTAATAATAATAATAATTATTAATAATAATAATAATAATAATAATAATAATAATAATAATAATAATAATAATAATAATAAATAATAATAAATAATAATAATGTAGTTTTATATAGCGCCGATATCCATCAAATGTCTGTGGTACCCAGTTACCCGGTACCAGCAACTCTCGTCATCCACCACATGATGATGGACTGGGTTCTTTATAGTGCACATGAGCCACTGTATACACTGGGCCTATGGTTTATAGTCCTTATCTGAAAAGACCTGTTGTACCACCAGAACGATAGGTGAGCGTGCCGTTCGAACCAACGCCGATATTATGGCTGTATAGGTTGCGGCACCTCTGCTAATCGGTCGGCGATTCGACTTGCCTTATGAAGCTAAAGTAAACCCATTAATCATTTCATTTCATTTCTTTAGGTAAGAGCGCCAAGGATATGCCAATAACTGAACTTAATAACTGTCCTACGTGGCATATCCATTTAACAACAGGGGACTTCAGGCCCGTAGCCAGGTCATTTCAAGGGGGTGGGGTTCTCTGGGCGTGGGGTCCAGGGATCTGCCTAAGGGCCACGGTGGGGTCGGGGCGAAGCCTTCGAAGCCAGAGCAGTTTTTGTGTTTAATGGGTCTATATAATGTTTTAAAAGCAGTTATGTTTTGAAAAAGATCTATGTAATGAAAAGGTGGTAATATAGTAAAATTAGAAAATATTTTCTGAGAATTGGCATGTTTAAATAACACCGAAAGATATATAAAAAAAACCCCTCATCGCATAATCAATATCAGTATACTCAACACATTTATAAAAAAAAAAAAAAAAAAAAAAAAGCTATTCTTCTTCCTCCTCTTCCTTTTCCTATTCTTCTTCTACTTCTTCTTCTTGAATCTCATTTTGTACACTGAAAATAATAGTACTATTTTACTACATGGCTAAAAAAAGCACAAATATTGTCATTACTACTGACAGGGCCATCGTAAAATTACGTCAGATTCCAAAATATAGTATCATATTCAATACGTTATCTGACATCATAAGAACCTAAACTTTAATACAATTATTTGTTATATATTAGGCCTAATTCGAAATTATTATTTAAAGACTTTAACATATAATATTCTACATACTGATTAATAATAGCTGAGATTTGATGAACATTTTAGAATTAATAGTCGTTTTTATTATATCTTCCTGAATATTTTTTGTCTGCCAAATGAAATATGAATTAGGCCTATATGCATCTTTAGAAATACAATTTCTACTATATTAATCTTGTTTTTATATAGATAAATGTTCGATAAATTCTATCTTTCATAAAAAAAAAACCACGAAATTCAGCGCGTCTATTTTCATTCTAATCAATGGCGTTTGTAAACGTGCACTGATGTCATCTCGTCGAATTCCAGGACTTTCGACGGTAAAGCTGGCCTGCCTGCCAACCGATTATGATTAACAAAATGTTTTTTTTGTTGTTTTTTTTTAATATAGGCCTGTGGCGCATTTTGAACATGCACTTCAACTTTTACAACAAAAGCCTAGGCCTAATACCGTACTTGCAGTACGTCCTACTGTACTTAGGCCTACACTGGTTTGTTGTCGTCGGGATATAATTCTGTCTCTAAATGAACGAGGAGCGAACCTAGCTAGTCAACATCTAGGCTAAGCTAATTGATTTTGAAATCAATAATCCACCTTAAAGGACTATCTTCGTTTTCTTCCAGTGGCGTAACGGGGGGGGGGGGGGGGCAGGGGAAGACTGCAGAAGAGAAGAGAAAAGAAAAATAAAGACAAAAATAAAAAGGAAGATATAATGAACAGATATCACAATACCCGGCAAGCCCTTCTCCACTTCAAAAAGTGTCCATATCGCATTTGATCTAAGCCGCCAGATACGGTATTCTCCCCAGTGGCGTAACCACCGTTGGCCAAGAAGAAAATATCCATCTATGGAAAATCTTTCCTCATTGAAGATGCCCTTATCACCCCGGAAAGTGCCTGAAACTCTCAAATTTGGTTTTTTGTTGGGGTAGGCCAATTTCCTCTAAACTTTGCACATTTTAGGGAGTTTTGCTCAATTTCGACGAAATTAAAATTAAAGACACAAAATTCTTACGCGCGCATTTTTTAAGGGTAAAGCTTGTGCTTGCCATCCTTTGCCTTAGTTATTTAAACACATAATAGTCCCAAACTCAAGAAAGAAAATTTAAGATAGATCGTTTTACCTAAAAGAAGGGCCGCAATGTGTAATGATGGTGAAAGAATATGCTTGTAATAAATAAAGCCATTCCTGATGATGACATAATTAATGTCGAAATATTGAATCCCAACACGATGGCGTGTATTTCAATACTTGGAGTATGTATTATACTTTCTTATCTGAGAATAATCAGTGGACCTTTCGGTTAAAATGCTTATAGTCAGTTTCAAAAAACGAGTGTGGCCATATATAACATAAGCGCATTTCTTGTTGAGGTAGGCCAATTTCCTAAAAAAATTGCACATTTTAGGGGTTTTTACCAACTCCGACGAAATTAGAATTAAAACACAAAAATGTTTTGCGCTTCGCGCGCATTTGTTAAGGTTAATGCTTGTGCTTGCCCTTCTATGCCTTCTAAGTTATTTAAACACATAATAGGCCAAACTCCAATAGAAAAAAAAACATTTAAGATAGATCGTTTTACCTAAAAGAAGGGCTTTAATGTGTATTGATGGTAAAGGAATATGTTTGTAATAAATAAAACCATGATGAAAATGCTTATATTTAGTTTCAAACACACGTGTGTGGCCTATATTATAAATAAGGTAAGCCCTATGTCATATTGTTTTCTGTATGGTGGGGTGGGGGGGGGAGAATGGTGGGGTTTCACACCGGGTCATAAATTACTAACCGGGAAAATTATTACCTTTGCCCCCTTCCCCCCGACCCAAGACCCCTGTTACGCGCCTGTTTTCTTCTTTGCAACAGCGGACGAAAAAAAGCCAGTTATTCTATGACGTTTCATGATTTTTTATCACTAAAAAACACTCGTTTTGACGCACTCCGTTCTGTAGTGACGGTTGAAAACAAACTTCCTGGCCTAATTTTGTGACTGGCTATGATGACTGAGATGGACCATGTTGATTTATTAATAATATTTTGTTTGGGATGGGAAAAAAGGAGAGTCAATTTCTCCAAAATGCTCCAGCACATAGTTTACTGCGCGCTATGGACAGTATGGCTATGGAATTTACTAACCACACAATCCACAATGGTGATTAAGTCGCAAAACTTTCTCTGCCTTTGGTGGATTAAGTCGCAAAACATTAGCTTCGTTTGGTGGCACCATTTACATTAGGTAGACGGCGACCGGTTTCGCTAACGGTTGGTACATTTCTTACAAACATTCAGCCAAAGGCCTTAAAAGTTGAGACGGCAGACGGTTTTTTTTTTAAATCTATGTTTGCCATTCTTATGTGTGCCATCGTAAAGTCATGGTTTGCTGGAGTTGCGTTCAATTTAAATCTCTGAACTTCTGAAGCTGAGATATTCTAGGCTTGTATCGCAGGCTACAATTTAAAAACGGGTAACCAAATAATGAATTAGGTGCTAAATTTTGATTTAATGCTAGGTAAGTTAAAAGCAGACATTCTGTCCGAGTGGGACTCATTCAAAAATTCGAGGGAGTTCGCTAGAAAGCAGGGGGGTTCGCTAGAAAAGGGGGGTTCGCCCGAAATAATAAACAATCCCCCTGCCACGGGCCCGGACTTAATGGACCAGTACACCGGGGCAACCTCCTACTCTTCTCGAAGGATGTACTGAGTTCTTTAAAGTGCACACGAGCCAAATGCGTACACTGGGCCTACGGTTTAAAGTCCTTATCCGAGAAGACTTGCTCCACCACCGAAACCATTGGCGAGTGAGCCGTTCAAACCAGCGCCGATATTAGAGCTGAAGGTTACGGTGTCCCTGACTTAACCGCTCGGCCAATCAATTCAACACGAAAATATTAAAAATATGAGCGCTCTGGTTTTAAGCATTTCAGTACGATATTACTGCGATTTGTAATAATAATAAAAATAGCAACAATACCAATAATAGAGTTAAAGCTTGTATATTATGGAGACATATGCGCCTAAAATGCCCCGGTCATTGGATTAAGCACGTGTGGAACACATACTCAGGTTCATGGGGAGAATTGCAGCTGTAATGCACGCATTTTCGTGTTTGAACATACCAGGTACCCACTGGTACTCCTAGGTGGAGGGAGACAACCGCAGGTAAAGTGCCTTGCCAGGACACAGGCGAAATGTACAGCAAGGGATTGAACCTCCGACCTCAGGGTTGAAAAGCAGAACTGGCACCGCTGCGCCAAACCGTTGTATTGGTGTATTGCCACATATGTTAAATGTTGAAGAGGCAGAGAGGTTGAATGTAGCTATTGTTTATTTTATATATCACAACATTATTGCTCTTTCAGTGTCAGGAGGATTTTGCATCGTTCTATATGACAAACTTAACTATTCCTGTGCGTTATCACTACGGCAGCAACGAGAGGTCTGCGCCCCTTGTCGTAGTCATGGAAAACGGAACTGTGTTTGCAGGCGGGTAAGTGAAATGACAATGAAATCCAAAATACAGTTCATCACAACAAGTGCTACTTCTGTTTGAATATATCCTTCTTGAGTGCCAACAATCCAGACTGGCTACAGTAGTCCCTACTGTTATCAATTTTGTTACAAGTGCGACCAAAAATTGTCTCTGTTGGGAATTTATATTAAGTATATTTTTATTTCAGTCAGAAAACTAGATACAATCGAGACAACTGTAAAGGAGCAAATGATGGGTTTGATCCGTACAACATGTCGATGCACGTAAGTTAATTTACCATTATCGTCAATAACCAGTTCGTATTTCTATCTCTAAGCTGCATGTCCACGCGGCACACGCTTCTGAAAAGAGTAGGGCAGAGGATTGTATCCCGGTGTACTGTCCAATCACCAACATAAGGACCCCACTGGAAATTCGTCTTCTTCAGACTTTTGTGGGTTATCCTTGGTGTTTACACCAAATATAACCAAATCCATACTATCTATGTATCCCGTTATATACGAATGTGTCGAAAATAGAATATAATTTGGAAATGGAACTAGGGACATTCGAAGTAGGCCTACTGCGTTCTGATGCTTTGTCAACGAGTTAAACTGCCCAATTCTTGGATCAAAAAAGTGGATAAAAAAAAAAGACTGGGAATTGAACCAGTTGCATTCAGACTGCTGATCCGACGATCTCATTGAAGATTTTATAGAGTAACTTTATAGGCAGTGGTTATGGTTACACTAGTAACAACTAATAATTATGATTGGATGTTATTGTGTGTGTATATTGGATTAGGACAATAACATGCAATCAGACTTGAGAATGCGTTTAAAACTGCTCTAACAATAGCCACGGCCAACTTTATAAGTGTTCTGACCGCTCGTGACGCTTCTACTCACAGAGTCATACTTTTTATAAATGTTAATTATGTTGAATAATCTAAAACTTATCATTATGTTATTTCGTCACTATTGTTAACAGGGCCTGTTTGTGGGATTCGGACCAAGCTTCAGAAACGGTTTGATTATGAGAGAACCTGTTGCCAATGTAGAACTCTATAATCTCATGGCTGGTTAGTTGTTTGATTTAATTGTGAATAAAATTATAAGTTTTATGTAGCTACTAGCAGGGGAGTATCTAGCGGCGCGAGTTGGTAAGGGGCACATCCACCCCCCCCCTCCAAAAAAAAATCACTCTCAAGTACTGTATTACTCGAAAATCACATCAAATCACTTTAGAGCTAGTGCCCCTCACCTACTTATCGACCCCTCGTCCCACTTCATCTACGCTTCCCCCATCAGTCCCCTCCCCATGTCAAGACATATACGCAACTGGCTAGTAGACTTTAACAGTACAATTCAATAAAGTATTTGAATTTTTTACTTTGTTTGCTTAAGCAAGTTTTAAGAACTACATTTTAGTTGAACACTAGAATAAGGTAAGATTTTTTTCTGCACTAAATATTAACATTCGCATAAATACTGTATGATATTATTAGCTAAAATAAATATTAAAGCAATTCGAAAAGAATGGTATAGGGAGATAATTACATGGTAAAAACATGTATAAGGTATAGAAAAGTTAAATACTGTCAACAATATTGAGCAATTAATTTTTAAATTGTGTTTGTAGAACTGATTGGTGTAACACCCGAACCTAACAATGGGACCTATGGTAGAATGAGGACAGTGATGGAGGTGCCCGGCTCATACGATCCACCAACGTACAGAAGCAACGTACAAAATACAACATCTGTAATGTTTCCAACTACTGACAATGAGGGGTTGAGACGCTACAACGCATATGAATCCGGGTGCTCGTGTCCCCCGACTGCTTTGCAGGTAAGCTATTATAAACAGAACACGTAGGCCTTTATCAGGATTAGCACACTTTTTGTGTGTCATGGTAAACATATATATTATAGTAAACGTTGGTCGTTGGAATTATTATTATTGCCTATCCAACACTAACATACACCCATGAGAAAATCTTCAAGGATATATCTAATTAGAATGCATGTTCGAAATTAATACCGGTTAATGTACAGCAGTTAGATGCTAACGAATAAAGAAGTACATACAGTACTTGTCAATTGCAATTCATATTCAAATTTAAAAAATACACATGAAACGTTTTCTTTACTCTATAGAGATATACACAGACAAATTTAGATGGCAAAGATTACGACAACAATCTGAATTTAAATCAAGGAGCCAGTAAGTACTCAGCACTATATTTTTTTTTCATTCATTGATATCATAAAGGATTTGTTTTCAAAATTCATTACTTTTGTGCAGTTCTGAAGAATGATCATATCGTGTAGGAGCGTGTGACGCAGCGTGTAAGGTGTTGGAATTGTGATTATGAGATGGGCACTTTACTTACGTTTGCCTCTCTCCACCCTGGAGTATAAATGGGTACCTAGTAGGATGGTGTGTCATTGAACGTATGTTGTTGTATATGTAAAGTAGGGAGCAGAAAATGTTGCCAACCTAATATCCAGTGGCCAGGGAAATACGGACACCAGCGCCTTGATATTCTTCGGTTTGTGATAGGTGCCATATAAATTCAGATTCTAAAAAAATGAACTAACTAACTAACTAACTAACTAACTAACTAACTAACTAACTAACTAACTAAAAACTAATTAAAAAAAATAATAATAGTAAAATCATTCCCTCCCTATAAGATTTTAATTGTCTGTCGACCAGACAGCGTGGTCTCTCCAGATCCACTATAGATACCAGCCACTAATAGCATAAGTTAAGGTCATTAAAATACCTGCGGCTGTGGAGGGTGAGGTCCCAGACTTGGGGTGGGAGCGGTTTCCCCAACGAGAGCAAAGTGGTCGGGCGTCGCTCAAAATGTTCCGAAAGTGGGCCAAATTATATGACAATTCAGGATTTTTTAAAGGCTTATTTAACCGATTTTATAGAAAGGGTCTACCATGACTCTGTTAATTTGAGAATAATCATATTTGTATATTATAACCAATGATACTGTTCTTGTTATTATCACAGTGTCTTCGAGTAGACAGGTCAATGCTCCATACGGTTTACCGGTGCTAGTCAACGATACGAATCCATTCGGCGAGGACTTCGGCTACCTCTACCAAAATAAGTTTATAAGCGCATATGACAATTATATTCATATCCAACGAATGGCCACATTTAATATACAAAAAAATGTAAGTAGTACGTGATTTAATTTAAATTGTTCTCTTATTAATAATTTATTTGCCTGCTGTAGGTTCGTTTATAGATTAGTATTTAGAGTGTATTCGGATAAGCCAAAAAATATTACTTTATAGCTAAATTATAAATAAACCAAGTTTGCTCTCCGGTGAATCTCAATTCAATTCAAATGTACATTTATTTTCTTCTTTGATAATATTAAAGTAATTTAAATGACAATTAAAAAAAAGAGAGCAAACTCCTGAGAAGCAAAAGCTTGTGGGTGGCATGCCAAAGCATAGAACAGAAAAAAGTACATAAAAACAGAGAAACGGGTTACATCAAAAAATAGAACATTAATGAAAAGAAACTGATTGCTATCGATGGAATGATGAATTACAATGCAATTAGAATTAGTTATTTAGAGGTTTGGCGCCCGGAGGCCAGAGTAGACCATTGTGCCCCCTTCCCCCCGAATTATGGTTTTCTCCCCGACTGGGGGTGGGGGTGGGGAAGCTATCCCCGAAGGGGCTGGCACCGCCGCCCCCCTCCCCCGCCGGTCGCTCTACCCCTGTTTCTTACTACAGAAACTGCATTACGATGTTCGGAACTTTGTATACAACTTAACCATTATCCTAATTTGTAAGGCTGTTGATCGCATACAGCTTAGTATTCTTATTGTCTTGTAAGTTGCTGAATTTGTAACATTGTTTGAATTCGCAACTGAATTTTGTGTGTTTTTGCATCTGCAAATAAGTTATGCGGAGTGGAGTTCACTTGGTGGTTAAGATGCTTGCCTTCCAATCCTAGGGTCCTGGGTTCAATTCATGTCAGTGTTGTAGGATTGTTTCTCACGACCAAAGCAACTCTACTCCCTAAATCTCATATTAAGATTTAGTTTGTGTATGTTTGTCTTGTGTAAGGGATTGTCACCTACATGTAGGACAGTGATATATTCGCTATTGACAATCCTTGGCACATGTATTGTGTGCCTAAATAAATAATAAAAATAAATAAATAAATAAATAATAACATGATTAAAGTTAGAAATGTCTAATTCATCGCGCTCAATACTAAGGAGTACCAAAGCAGATAGTTTCACTTGTCCCATCGTGGCTCTGAGATATGGCAGAATGAGCTTTAGTGATGTAGTCAGAATACAAAACAGGATAAGAAAAAAAGAGAAAACGATCGAAATGGACTAAAAAGAAATCACAATCTATAAATTTGCCAATAAAACAACTACATTCAGATTTTTATTATTAACTGGAAAATATTCATGCCTGATGACATGTGGTAATTTTTTTTACTCCCATTCTCCCATTTCAGCGCCCCAAACTTGGCGCCTTGGGCACGTGTCTCCTCCCCTTGACCCCCTAGCTACGCCACTGGATAAATATTATATTGTATTGAAATGAAGTTGTATAATCTCGATTATATAGTCTTGTATTTACGTGTCCAATACGAAGTCGCATGTTGGTGATTAGGCTAATGTTCTATAAAAGGAAAATGACAATTTAAAAATTGAAATTTAGCAAACGTGTGGTGCACCATGGTACCATTTAACGATTAGTGGCAGAATGTGCACTCTGCTAATCTCCATTATCAATCGTAACAAAATATTTTCGTTGATATTTAACGGACAATTATACATTTAAAAAAAAGTATATAATGAAATGGAATAAAGATAATATTTCAAATTATTTATCTTGCAGTTAGCATTCATTACACCAATAGAGGATTGTACGACTGATGACGTTCGTATTCAGACAGAGAACAGTGTAAAATGTAGTGCGTACCTCGGCCAACAATACGAAGATGGCCTCACCAAACGTTTTCTATTCAGTTGTAGTAGTGAGTGTATTTTTTTTCATAATTTTCTCTCTAGGCCGATATTATATTAAAGTAGTTGTTCTTGTTTATTATTTCCAAGCTTTTATTACTGTATGGTAACAGTAACAAAGTTCTGATATGCAGTTTTTCAAAATTTCGTCTCCATGCCCGCTTGGCCATATCTCCACTTCTAGTTTTGGTATCAACACAATCTATATAAATAGGTGACGATGAAAACATGCTTTTGAGAGATCGTTATGTGATACCGAGCCGAGCTCAGTGTATTATTATGGTCAAAATATTGGTTTCGCGCATTCGAATGTCACGGGCCTACCATTTACCATTACAAACCCTCCTCACAACCAAATGCAACTTCTGAACTCTCTAGGTTTCATAATTAATATTGTCTTTTGAACATCTAGGTCTGAATTAATGAGCTCATTTTGATAAAATTAATATATACCATGTACTTTTTATATCTGTTTGCAGAATTCACTGGCGGTTCCACGACGGTTCCCGATTTTGCACCTCAAATTAATTGTCTTATTTCTTCAAACATTGTTCCGATGTACTCTCGCTTCTATACCGGTAAGAATGCTTGTGTTAAGCCTATGAATTCAGCTCAGTATAGATATTAGGCATAAGATCGATAAATAGATAATAAATGAACGGTTCATTCAGTTCAAATCCCAAATAAAATACATCATGTCAGCAATTCTGAATTCTGGTAATTACAATAGATTTAAATATATGAATATAATAATACATATTTAACTTAAAATTAAAAATCAGATTAAATTATTGTTATTTCATGAAGATTACAGTATATAAAATGTGTAGTTCGTAATGATGACATTAATAATAACGACGACATTAGTAACAATGACGTCAACTATAAGTTTGTTACAACAAGGACTTTAATCTGATGAAAGGTACAGATAAAAGTATTTAATTACAAGAAATGGTACGTTCAATAATGTAAGAATTATAAAATAATTGACCACAATCCTTACTGATTTACATCTCAGGTTTTTGGAGTAAACTTGTTACCGAAACAATGCAGTGGGCAAATGTATTCAATGGTATTAATGTTGTAGTTGGGCCAATTTTTGATACCAATCATGATTCCAGACGTGACACGTATTTTGAACTCGCTGGCGGGTAAGCAAGTTTTGAGTATTACTTATGTCACAACTAATAAACTGGAAGTGGGTGCAATGAATCAAGAAGGTATAAATATTATACCTACTTGAGCAAACCATGAACCCAGGTTTATAACATATGAGGCTCTGGAGAGCTGCTCCATGTTGTGTTTTTGTGGATAGAAGCCTGAAATAAAGAAAAAATATATATAGGCCTAGTAAATTTATTCTGGTCTTGCCCAAATTAAACTTCTAAGAAAAGGAAAAAGGTTATGCCGAAAAATAAATAAATTCCTTATTTTGAAAACTTAGATTTCTATGTTCTCCAAATTAGAAATTGAGAAAATTCAGATAGGCTTAATTAAAAGTTGTGATTCTGTTCTGGTTTCTTTTTGTATTTCGTTTAATGTTTAATTTCAGTACAAATTGGATTGGTGACACCCCCGTACCCACCCACTACTACTACATAGCGACGAGATGTCGAGGTAACCGCCAGCCCACATCTTGTGCAAGAAATCTTGAGGATATGGACATTTTGTCACTCGTACTACCACATTCCAATGAATATGTTCCTAACTGCAAGGTAATTATGATTATGATTATATTGATAGTAATGATAAAAATAATTACTAATATAATAACGATAACCAGGTAATAACTATTGGGAAATAATGATAATATAGGCCTAATAATCATAATAGAACTTAAAATACTTAGTAGGCCTAAAGTATGTAATTGTTGTTTTTACCAGTCTACAAAGTATGACATGATGTTGGAGTGAAGTTGAACTTTTTCAGCAGGACTTTTTCTCACGGCTAAAAACAACTCCACTCCCTAAGCCTCAATAAGAGACTTTATTTATAAACTATCATTTCATCCTGTTTTAGTGGTAAGTGTACTCGCTGTTGGATGTAAAGGAAATATAAAAATGATAATGATGATGATGATGATGATGATGATAGTAATGAAAAAGAAAAAAATAACATATCTTACAGATTATTAATAATTTATTTTATCTATATTTTTTTGTAGGATTTCGAAGAAAATTTAGCCAATAATCGAGCAACAATTAGTGATATTGAACAACTAACAGGAATAGTATTCTTCCCGGATCTGACTAACGATGCTTCCACCGCCGAGGACATGATGCTGAGGAAACTCCTTTTCCCTTCTATGTGGTCCACAAGGAATTAGGCGGCGTGACTATTGCGCTGTAACTTAATGCAGGTATTGTCGGGTTTCCATAAAGTCGCTACACACTATAGCCAATAGCTTTCGGCGGCGCTGGACTTCGGGGACAGGTTACCCAGTTCAGTGAACACGCTGTATCATTTTTATGAAAAGCCGTCTAGTTGACCTGTGGATCGGAGGAAATATTAATTTGTATTTTACCAAAAAAAGATATGATGATACAGTAATTTTAATTAGTAGGATCTGATCAAGATGAAAATATAGCGTTTTTATATGCTGCGAGTTATGACGACTCATGGGACTATAATACCTTTCACAAATTGAATTTATATTGTGGACGTAAATATTCATAATAATTACACAAAGTAATCACGTTGAAAGACGGAGATATCGCCGAGTGAGATGCACCTTGATTTTACTAATTAAATTATATCACAAAAAATGTAAATATTGTGAAATATGCTTTTTAAAACGAGCGAGTTGTGGTGATAGTTAATGAATGATCATTCCAAATCGTAATTAATTTTTAAAAGACCATAGAATCATTGGGACTAGGATTTATAGGCTATAATAGTCCTGAATTATCTATATTTTGGCTGCTAAGCTATTTTGTACGAGTAGGTCTATAGTTAAGGCTATGATGATGATGATCACAGTACTGGGCAATTGTAAGGAAAACACAATTCCGTATTTATTCGAATAAAAGCCATCCTCGAAAAGGCGCGCCGAAAATTTATTTTTTCTTTGAATAAGCGCCCTCTACATGTCTTTAAACAAAGTAATTGAAGCAAGATCGTTTTCAACACATTCTGCTATTGTTGTACTCCAATAGAATTACATTTTTTTAAGCTGATTTGGATCAATACGTCTTTATGATCACGCAGTAACACAGTTTGATGGTCATTTTTTTTATGTTCCACATCATTTGCAGTGAAACTAAGCGATTATTTGAGTATAACGAATTTACACTAAAAAATAATACTAATAAACACCTCCGTCGAATAAACGCCTCCCTCGCCTAAACGCCCCCACCCCCCAAAAAAACCCTTCGTTTATAAAAAGAAATACGGTATTCAATTGATATATTTTTGGATTTTAAAAGTCATTACTTTTTACTATTTTGTATAGTATAAAAATGAAATAGTAGTAGTAGGCCTACAAAAAATTTACAAATCAAGGACATTAATTATAAAGAAATCATAAGGTAATACTTTTTCTGTATTCTGAGAAATGACAAAGCCTAGGCCTATGTTTAAAATGACTGAATTAAATAAAAATTTAATTATAGGAAATGTTATCAAGTTATCCGTTTTCCTTACCAGTTAGAATAAGTGCAACCACAGAGAAAATATATTTCATATATTTTCTCTTTGGTACAAGAAACAGGCTTAAATATGTTTTCTGGGTTTTGGGGATACATTTATAAACTGTTTTTACATTCATAAACATTATACAGATTTATGCCTATATATTTTACATTTAGATTGCAATTTTACTATAAAATTTAACCAGTAAATAGTTATTTTTCGAAAAGCTAATCTTTCAAATGTTAAAATTGTTTATGTAATATTTCAATAAGTACTACAGTAGTTAATTAAACATGCATATTAATCGTTACTGAATAATTGGTTTTAATGCTGATCTGCATAATTACGAATACTGTTTCAATTGTTTCTGTATCTTGAATAAATTGCAGTTAATAGTTTTCTAAAAAGGTTGTTTCACTGTTGCATGCCTTAGCTTTATATAAACACACACATGCTCGATCCAGTTACAGAGTAAACTGATATATATATATATATATATTATATATATATATATGTATATGTATATATATATTATGTATAAATATATATTATGTATATATATATGTATATATATATATATATACAGTATATATATAGTTGATAAAAGTTGCTGCATAGACAGATAGACAGTCAAAGTTTTGTATCTGTCGTAAAATAAAAGATTGATTGTACTAGTACTTAATATTTATTGTACAGTACTTGTAAGTAAATTAAAGTTGCTGCATAGACAGATTTGTATATAAAATAAGATGTCAAAAAAAGTTCTGTATCTGTCTCAAAATAGAATATGTATTGTACTAGTACTTCCAGCCATGGTCATCGTCACCGTTTACGTTTTGTTGGACCTTGGCAGCATTATCTATTTCGTTCATTGGAAACCGATTAGGAGGTGCTGCTTTTATTTTTATTATTTTTTTAAATATTTTTTTTAAATTTTATTTTATTCATTCTGGCAAAAACAATTAACAATATAAAACATTAAGAATAATCAGGTGAGCCAGGGAGCAGCAAAAGCGGAACCACTCTCATGTTAGAGATGTGCTGCTCCCAGAAAGAAAAAATTAATAAATAAATAAATTAAAAAAAAAAAATAAAGGATAATAATAATAATAAGTAAATAAATAAATAAATAATAATAATAATAATAATAATAATAATGGAAATTAATAATGATAAACAATGAAGAACAATTAAAAATTATTAACATAATTTTTTAACTTGCATTTGAACAAATTAAAATTAAAAGATGTAATGAAATAATTTCGGATATCAGGATAGAGGTTATTCCACAATCTCACAAATCTAATTGGAATTGAAAATTTCGAAGAGTCAGTTTTAGATTTTAAATGTTAAAAGATAAGGATGACGATTATTAATAATTAATTTACTAGAAACTAAACTCGAGTGGGAGGAATAAAGTAAACAACAAATATTTAATATAATGAAATAGTCACTTAATTTTTCAAAAGACATTAATTTCAAAGTGTCTAGTCTTCCCACATAAGATTGTTCCTGAGGTTTTTGCTGAAGAATATATCGAGTACCGGTAGCCTTGCGTTGAATATTTTCGATTTGTGCTTTAAGACCTACTCGATAAGGATACCAAACATGATTACAATAATGGATATGTGGGAGGACTAGACACTTATATAATTTTAAAAGAACGGAAGAAGAACACCCAAAAGCAATAGAACGAATAAACCCCAAAATACAAACATTTGGAAGTAACCTCATTGACGTCCCCAGGAAAGATTATAGGAAATAAATACCCCAAGAATTTTAAGATGATTGGGATTCGACAAAACATGCCCATCAAGGACATACGAAGGACGCACCCGATTCCTCATACGTGTAAGACTAATGACGGAACAGGGTTTAAAGCTAATAAATTAATTTTGGACCAATTTAAAATCTCGTCAATATCTCTTTGTAAAACTAATTGGTCTTCATCGGATCTAATGCATTTGGAAACAAAGGTATCGTCAGCATATTGGTAAGGCTTCGAGGTAAGATGCAAGTGAAGGTCATTAACGTAGATGCTAAATAACAAGACGGACCCTTGAGGCTGAAGTTCAAAGCAACAACATCAATTCGCTTAACACCCTCTTCCAGCGAAAAAATCCAATCTGTAGTGGCCTCCGTTAATAGTGGAACAGGCTTTTCCTGGTGTAAAGCCATGTTGAAGATCATAAAAAACGCCAAGATTAATCATATGGTGTCGCAATTTGTCAGAGACAACACCCTCCAACATTTTACAAAAAAGCGAGGTCTGTACTTGTGAAGGTCACTTTTTTCCCCTTCTTGTATACTGGACACGTTTTGCTGTCCCCATATTTTCATAGCATTGATCATTTTGAGAGCACTGTACAATAATAATTAAGTTATGTCACCTATGTTAGCAGATCATGAAAATATGTTTAAAATAATTTCCAAAAAAATTTTTGCATCACATAACAGCCACACATACCAACGCAACACAAAATCAACAGTCTGATAAACTGTATGATGATAAAATGTTATTTTACTCTGGTTGGTTGGCTGTTGAAAGAACGTCACGCTTCAGCGTATCACAGCCTATCTTTGCAGTTATGCCCTTTTGCCTTGGGGATTCACTGAAAATTGTGTAGTTATGCCCTTTTGCCATGCCCCTATCTAGCCCGGGGGACACTTTTTTACAATTTTTTTTGTGTCAACATGTGTAACATGATGTACTGACCCCTCTAGGCTATATAACTCATTTTCGCCAAAAATGTCAGTTATGCCCTTTTGCCATGGGGGGGGCAGTGTAATTGTGAAGGTCACTTTTTTCCCCTTCTTGTATACTGGACACGTTTTGCTGTCCCCATATTTTCATAGCATTGATCATTTTGAGAGCACTGTACAATAATAATTAAGTTATGTCACCTATGTTAGCAGATCATGAAAATATGTTTAAAATAATTTCCAAAAAAATTTTTGCATCACATAACAGCCACACATACCAACGCAACACAAAATCAACAGTCTGATAAACTGTATGATGATAAAATGTTATTTTACTGGGGAGGAAAAATATACGATTGGTTGGTAATACATAAGGGTTACAATGAACCTACCTTGAACATGACAACAATAATGTATTGTAAAATAATTGTTATGGATATATTTAGTTCATCGTATCAATGTCTGTAGAAGAATGGACCTTTTTTAAAAGTTGAACATTAAAACTGGCCTATAGGTACAAGGCCAGGAATACAATACGCTCTTGTCCTACAAACGCACGGGCTTACGTAGGCCTACATTTGTGCTATCATTTTGTGAGACATAGCCACAATATTCAAACGCCAAGAAACGATCTACTTTCTTTTGATTCATTCCATTTCATTCGGACAATGTCCGACTTTATTAGCTCAATTAGGCCACCGGCCCATAGAGTAACATTTTATACTGAAGTGAGAATTTTTTTTAAATCTAGAGGCAACATACAGAAACAGAAAAATTAATGTGTAAATTATCATATCTAAACAAACTTAAAAACTTATGGCGGTTCGGGTTAACCCAGAAGTGAGACGGCAGATTAGACTCTCTTTCTGATTTATATTCAAATTAAACAGAAATGGTATACATCTTCCACTTCGTTAAGCAAACATAAATTACATAAAACATACAAAAATTGTCATCTTTAAGTGTTTGAACATAGTTATCGTTGAGTCTGCTCTCAAAGCTATCTAGAAAAGCGTTGATATCTGATACACCCTGGTTAAGCCAAACAAAATAAAAAAAAAAAAGAGTATGTTTTACATGGGAGACCCAATTTGGTGTATCATAACGATAAAGCATATTGTAACATTTGAAGGGAAGCCGTTTTGGTTTCATACTCTCAACCAATAGGAGATCACTTTTCTATACACTTTTATCCGTAGCGGGTAACGCCCCAGCTTCGCTCCCCAACTCACCGGTTACCATCTTAGTATATCTAATTTTATGTTTCGAGGCTGGAATTTACATAATATAAAAGTGCCTGAAACAGAATGGTAAAAATTATGCCGCGCCGGACACCATCCTTGTAATTATGAGTCAACATTCTATAATAATTTTCCTCTGTTAATGTAATGTCTTCTTGATTCATATAGATAAGAATAAAATGCCCTTTAAGGGCACACGTTCCCTCTTATATTGCAGAGTCTGAAAACATCAGTGTCGGTGTCATCAGCGGAGGTGGGGATGGGTGGTCTGAGGAAATTGCATCCTGGACATTCCGTCGGAAAATTTCGTAGAATACTACTTTAAGGGTGAAATTTCCTGGCATCCAGATGTTGCTGAGGCTGAGGTAAGTCGATCCCTCTATTGAGAAATTGCCACTATTACTGTCTGAGTGGGGCGGGAGGAGGGACTGTTGGTGAGGTTTCGTCCTTAATGACTAGACTAAATTAAGGGTGGGCGCTGAAAAACTAATAAATTCTAGGTTACTGTAGACTAGTAGGACACTATTGTTCTTGGCATAAATTTTCTTTCAGTACATACCGGCTGTATCGACAGCTTGGGTAGCATTGCTTAGTCAAAGCAAGGGATATATGACGTGAAGTTAAGTGACATATATATGTATGTATGTATATGTATATGTATATATATGTATATGTATATGTATGTATATATAAAAAATATAGAAAGACAGCAATATAAAACAGCTATGAGTTGTAGACATATTAGAAGCAATATAATTTATTAATTCACAAATATTTCAAACACTCCTGTGTTCTTCCTCAGTATATATATGTGTAGTTGGTTATGCAATCTATTTTAAAATTTTTATATTACTTGAGGAACTCAATACTGTCCGACTTGTAGGTGACAATTCCTTTCTTTCCCCTTTTTTATTCAGGTATAATATAAAAATATACAAACGGCAGCCAAGGGCTGATAAATGAGTGTACTTACAAAACAATTAAGAATATTAAAAGTATTATATGTATATAAAATTACACGAAGGACAACACATTAAAAATACATACAAAGAGATATCAACTAAAAAAGTACAAATACTTACTTAAAACACCTACAAATTTCATATAAAAATATATAAAAATTACGATAATTATTGAATTATTTAAAATTATTCATAATTATTAAATTTTTCTAACATTGCAAGATGAAAACATTCATTTCACAAGACAAAAATAGACATACGATGCTCTATACAAACTAAATCTCAATACGGGATTTAGGGAGTGGAGTTGTTCTGGTCGTAAACCCTGCGACACTGACAGAAATTTACCTCAAGACCCTGAGATTGGAAGGCAAGCATCTTCACTCCACTAGCTATTCCACTTCACTCCTCAAACCATTCAACTCATCTCAATGTATTCAACTCCACACCCGTCTGATAACATCCAAATTACAGTGAAAACAAGCACCTACAAATTTCATATAAAAATATATAAAAATTACTATTATTATTGAATTATTTAAAATTATTCATAATTATTAATTTTTTTTAACATTGCAAGATGAAAACGTTCATTTCACAAGACAAAAATACACATACGATGCTCTATACAAACTAAATCTCAATACGGGATTTAGGGAGTGGAGTTGTTCTGGTCGTAAACCCTGCAACACTGACAGAAATTTACCTCAAGACCCTGAGATTGGAAGGCAAGCATCTTCACTCCACTAGCTATTCCACTTCACTCCTCAAGCTATTTAACTCCTCTCAATGTATTCAACTCCACACCTGTCTGATAACATCCAAGTTACAGTAAAAACAAGCTTGTATGTGAACTACTGATATCGTAGGCTATTCGTCCCCAAAACATCTATTTATTTTCGGAATTCTGTTTCTTCTTAGTTTTGAAAATAGAAATATAGGTAAGTAAAGGATTCTGTTTCTTTTGAGTTTGGAAAATGTACATATAGGTAAGTAAAGAGTGTAATGACATATCGTATGGTTTGGTCGTAGTCACATGCTTTGCAACCCACACTCAACAATGTAAACTAAGTACAGTAAAAATTATGTAAGACCACTGTAATTAATTGAATAAATTGTCAAATTATTTATAAACTGCCCTTCAATATAAATAGGCATAATAACAATGTCAATATACAGTATATAGAAATTCATGAAAATAGAATGCAGCATAAAATTATCTTAATGCTGTTCATGTTCAAGGGTTTTTTTTGCATTTTTGTTTTTCCTAAGTATTCTATACCGAATATATATATATAT